TATTATGAAACAAAACAAACTTTCCACCTTGCTAAAAAAAAAAAAAAATTATTAGAAGGAAATCAATGCAGTGGACACGTGGCAGACAATGTGGGTTGCTTACCAAAAAGCTAATGTCCTCTCCCTATATTTACTAAGAGACCCCTTCCCCCAAGTTTTGTCCCTATATTGTGCAGCTGAAGAAGCAGGGCCCCCTTCAGAGTACCAGAGGTGATGTTGGAGGAGTAATAGGATATTTCATTACCCTTGGCAAAGATTCATTTAGTAAAGTAAATTCGGGAAACTGTGGCCAAGAAGCTGGAGGAGAAGACTTCCTGGAGGCCTTTGGGGGAAAGGCTTCCTTGATCTACAAAAAGGAAATGAGGAAAGGAAATATCCTCTTCTCTCCTTTCAGTCTTTAGACATTATTGTGTGAGGATGTGATACTTGGAGCTTCTGCAGCCATCTTGGGACTGAACTTGTAAGTTTCCATAGTGAAACATATTGATATGTTTTGGCTATTTGTCCGCTCCAAATCTCATGTTGAATGTGATCCCCAGTGTTGGAGGTGGGGCCTAGTGGGAACTGTTTGGATCATGGGGACAGGACGGATCCCTCATGTATGGCTTAGTGCTGTCTTCTTGGCGATGAGTGAGTTCACACCAGACCTGGCTGTTTAAAAGTGTGTGGCACCTCCACCCTCTCTTGCTCCCACTTTCACCATGTGATGTGCCTGCCACTGCTGCGCCTTTCACCATGAGTGAATCCTACCTGAGGCCTCACCAGGAAGCCAAGCAGATACCAACGCCATGCTTGTACAGCCTGCAGAACTGTGAGTCAACTAAACCTCTTTTCTTTATAAATTACCCAGCCTCAGGTATTTCTTTATAATGACACAAAAATAGCCTAACACACATAGCTATCTCTATCTCTATAGATTAGACAGAGATAGCCCAAAGAAACCTTGGAGATCATCAAATTCAATTGCCTCATTTATTTTTATTATTTTTGTTCCATGTTGTTTGGCTTATTAATATTCCCTAATGGAAATCACAACTATTAAACCAATCATTAGGTTTGGAAAGTAGTGATAAACATAGATACAATATGATGATTTAATTAGGTGCCATTTTAGAGACAGAAGCTTATGATATGACCCCTTTATGTAATAATTGCCAAAATAATATCCTACTAGAATTAATTCAATAGCATGGGTAGCTTATTTCTAGAATATTTAAAAAACTGAACCAAAGCTTACTAAGATGGGTGAATTTAATATGATGTTTTTAGCTTTGTCACAGATAGTACAATTTAGCACAAACTAAAATAAAAATGTACTGTTTGCTCTATGCTGCACCCTATATTATCAAATAGCTTGACTCAAATTACTTGACTCAAATAGCTTCATACAATTCTCACAACAGCTCAGGTAAATACTGTCATCAAACCCATTTTGTGGATGAGGAAATTGAGGATAGGCAAGGTTAAATAACTTGCTTAGGATCACAGAGTTACTAAGTAGAAAGGCTGGGATTTGCAGTCTGACACAAAAGCTCAAGCTCTGAACCACTGCAGTTTTCTGCCCAAGAATGAATATAACTTATTGATGGTTGAGGCATGTGGCAAACACTGTTGGATGCCTACTTAGCAACTATTTCCCCTTTTCTCTCCATCAGAACACTCATTTTGTTTAGGGATGACTTGTGATCAATTTAATGAACTGTGGCAAATCCTCTCTTTTTGCCAGTGACTGGTCTGATGTTGCATGTGACCATTTTCTGGACAATAAGGAAGATTCTAAAGTCTGGGAAATATTTTTCTCCTTCATAAAAATGGTGGACAGCACTTCCTTTTCTTCCCTTCCTGCTCTGTGCAATGACCTCTATGGATGTGATGTCTGGAGCTATGGCAGTCACATTGCAATTAAGAGGTGACGGCCGCTAACACACATGTGAGGGCAGAGAGCAAACACAAAAAAGAGCTTGGGTCCTTGATGACATGATTGTGCTGCTCAACTAACCTTGAAACTATCTGCACTTGAAACTTATATTAAAGATATAATAAATGACCTCATGTTTAAAGCTACTGTCAAATATTCTGTTCCTTGAGGCCAAAGGCATTCTAACAGATGCAATCTAGACAGAGAAAGATGTTTTCTCAGAGTTTCAGCAAAAACAGATGATGTGTAGGTTATGAAGATTTTATCCAGGAATCCATTAGTATAGGTAGTAGTTTAGAAAAAAAAAATACTCCAAGCTTCGTCTCAGATATGGGTAAATCTGAGCCACCCACATGGTGTCTGTGCTGAATATTTTCCCCTCAGATGCACTCTTTCCTTTTCTGAAACTGACTGACATGAACTATATCAAAAGCCTCCCTTGCCCTCTGGCTTCTGGTTGGACTTGGCCATTGACCTACACCACCAGGAGACTGGAGGTGGGTGGCGAGTTAGATATAAATCCCCCAGGTCCTTTGCTGGGTGTTTACTTAGGCTGACTGCATCCGTTGACTGAAGGTCAGACTCCTGTCAGGTGGCCCTCTGTGTCTGGATTTTTCGGCAACTGTTCTTTCCCCTGATTGGACAGATCTAGGAGTTGTAGCCTCAGGGTTCCAGGCTTCTCTTGTGGTTTCCCACACCCTGCCCACATCTTTGCAAAATGCCATTTGTTTCCTGCCAGGACCCTGACTGATACAATGATGTCAACCAAATCACTGCAGCTATTGAAGTTTGGTCCAGTCTATCCGAGGTGTGGTGAGATTCTGTGGAGTTAAATAAGGGCTTTCACCTACTATTGAAGGGAGACAGGAGACTACACAAATAAATGGCATGCTGCAGAAGTGAAACAAAGATCATAGCCCAGAGAAAACATTTTCCACTTGAGGGCAAGAAATCAGAGAAAGCTACCTGGAAGAGCTGGCATTTGGGATGATGACGGATAGGAGTTTTAAAAGAGATGGTTTGAAGGGCATTCCAAAGACAGGGAAGAGTGTGAGTCAAGCCGGGGAAGAGAAAGCTGAAGTGAAGTTTCCGAAAAATTAGAGCTGGAAGGGATCTACGGTATCTTTTATTTGATGTTCGTTCTCCCTTCACCTCCTTTAACTGAGATTTGGCCAAGGTCAAACAGCAAGTCAGTAGCAAGTCAAGACTCCAACCAGGTCTGCTGGCTACCAGGCTAGTTCTTAATAATCCACCTCTACCTCCACCCCGCCCCCTCACCTCAGGCAGTCTGCTTACTTCTCAGTCTCTCCCACTAGACTGTAACCTCCTCAATAGCGGGGCTTCTTCACCCTTGAATCCCAGTACCTAGCACAATATCTAACACAAAATCGTCATCGTCATCATCATCATCATCAGCAGCAGCAGCAGCAGCTACCAAACTTTAAGAGGCATCCACACACTGCCAGGCACTGTGCAGTTATTTTGTACATCTTCTGGAATCTTCACTTTTCATTGAGGACGCTGCGGCTCAGAGAGGTTGTCTAATTTGTCTGAGGTCACACAGCAGTTAAGTGCCGGACTCTATTTTATAATATCTTTCATCAACCGGACTCCGAAGCCCTGCCTCAATGGGCGTTCATTCAACATTTGTTGAATGAACGAATGAACAAGAAATATTCACTCAATGCAAGCTATCGGCTGTAACAGGCCACCCTAGAGGCCCCGGAACCTTGGCAGGGTCAGGACTCCGCACGTTGTCTTACAATCTAAGCACACCGGCCCCTCTCAGCGCCCCGCACAGACTCGGAGGCTCCGCCTGCGTCTCCGCCTAACTCGCCGGCCACGCCCCCACTTCGGGGAGTTCGGTCACTCTCGGATTCGCGTTTTCCTCGGCTCCAGCAGCCGCGCAGAGGGCCTCTCCCGGCCCTGCGACCTGAAGCCCATTCCACTCCCCTGCCCCTCCTCTGCGCCCTCCCTCACTCTCCAAACTTCTTCTTTCCACCCTCTCTAAACTTCAGTCATTCTAGTGCCCGCCTCCTCCACTCGCACCGACCAACCAGTGGTCCTCATTCTCGTTGGCGGTCCGCCCCCTGCCCGCCGGGGGCCAATCCCTGGCGCGAGAGTCCGGGGCCGGGGCTCGTTCCCA